CTTCCTGTTCTTCGCCGACGGCGAGCGCGCATCGATCAATGTGGCACCGCGCAAGCCGGGCGCGACGGCTGAGTCGGAAGAGGCGGACCCAGCGGGCAAGCGGGTGGTGGACCTGATCCGGGGTGCGGACCCGCGGGCCCTGACGGCGGCGGCGTCGCGGCTCGGCGAGGCGGCACGCGCGGCGAAGGAGTAAAACTGAAACCTCCACGATCAATCTATAACATACCACAAAAGAGGACGGAGGACGCATGTACCTTTGGAGGGCGACAATGGAATACCACAGGAGTTGTCAGGACATGTCCGGGATAGCACTACCCGCATTTCTATTACCGTCAAATGAACAAATGAGATTTGTTATTTACGCTATACTTCGTGGTATCAAGTGACAGAATATGCTGACAATGGCGGCTGTGTGTATCCAAAAAGAAGTATATGTAGTCGCAGTAGAAACAAAACATGGCAATTAGATGCTCCTCCGTTTTTGGTGTCCAGTCCCGTATGCCGGCGCCGGACTCCAATCTCATAAACACAAATGTGAAGTAGCAAAACTATAGGCAAAAAAAATGTGCCAAAAATATGTACAACAGAACCTACTTACTTCTTCTCCCCGTCTAGTAACTTGCCGCACCGACTGCACTCCAGCTGCTGCACGCCGTTCACCCGCCGCGCCTTAAACTCCCGCCCGCCGCACTTGGTGCACCTCATTTCGACACCTTCGTCGCCATGCTCGCCGTCCACGTCGCTGCCGCCGTCTGTGCTAGTCATCTCAGAGCTCAGCCGACTGACAATCGAGCTTGCGCGCCTCCCGTAAGGGCTGTGTGAGCGCGAGCCTGGGATGAGCAAGTTAGTGTTGTTGTAGTGGGGTTGGTCCATGTCATCGTGAGGTCCACCGTCGCCGTCGTCAGAGGCGATCGCAATGGACGGCGAGAGGAGGGAACGTCCGGTACTGGATTTTTGGCGGGTTTGCGATGCACGGATGGTTGCTGCTGCCGAAGAAGACCCATCGTTCGCCGCCGCAGAAGCGCTCGCCTGTGTGTCCGACTTTGACAGCGGTGACTTGGGCAAGAGGTTAACACCCAGTGACCGTCGGCGCGTATGGGCCGTTTTGCCCTCACCGCCGTGTTCGCTGCCCTTGTCGCTGCTGTGCGTCGAGCCGACAGGGCTGGGTGGCTCGACAGCGTTGTTGGAGCTCGAGCCACCACCGATGAGCGACGTGCGCAAACCGGAAATACCCTTCCACCGGCTGAGGTTCCAGAAGCCAAAGCTGGCGCCCGCCTGGTCGAGCCGCAGCGCTCCGTCGTCCGCCCGGTATGCCATGGACGGCTGCGGTGTTGACCCGACAGAGTCCAGGTTGCTTTCGGACATGTCATCTTGCTCGAGATCATGGCCATCCTTTGGCTCCTGTATCTGAACTTCGGCTGGCACTGGTGCACTCTCCGTCGTTTCGTCGCTTGGCCGCGAGGTGGCAGAATCAATGGCCAAGCTGTCACGATTCGATGACGCTGCTTGACTCGACGAGGCAACCGTCCCCTTCATCGGTACTGTCGACGCATTCTCGCCTGCTGGCGGAAGGACGGGCTTCCCAGGTTGCCGTGAGGTTGCGGCAAATGTGGTAGATGTCGGACTTATTGCCGAATTGGCCAAACCACTGCGACCGGCTTGGTTGGGAGCAAAATGGGGTGAGAGAGGCGAGCTTGTAGCTGTCGCATAGGGCTGTCTGCGGGCATCACTAGCCAGGCCACTTGAGGCGCCCAACGGTGTCCTTGACGACTTGTTGGGCGAGATGGAGCGCTCACTTCGCACGGACGCGATTCCGCTGCCAACAAGCGAACTCGGTCGACTGCCACCGCCCTCTATGTCGTGTCGCCAGCGGTTGATGCTGTCCGGGTGGCCGCCAATCTGTGTAGAGTTGCCTGCCAGGTGTGACGGCAATGAGAGCGACCCGCGGCGCGAATGGGCGGCGCTGCTGGCACTGGTGCGCGTAATGATGCTTCCGCTGCGGCCGACCAGACGCGAGCTCGTGCCCAGTTTCTGGCCGAAAGACCCAGTCTCCCAGCTTTCGTGCTTTCGTTTCTTAGCTGCACAGTCCTGTCGGAAGACCTTGATGATACCTGTATCGCCGCCCGTGACAATAATGTTTCCGTCGTAGTGAGTCGAGCGAGCAACGTAGGCGGGCGACTCTTCGGGCCGGGCCCGCGGCGGGTGAGGAGGGTTCGTGGACTGTGTAACGTCTGTACCGTCCTCGTTGTGGTTGAGCGTGTTGTTGGACATGCCCGACTGCGACGCCAGTGTCTCTTCGAGGGACATGAGTGTGATTGGTGGCGGGTTGCACAAATCGTAGACTGGGTCACCCGATGCGCCCAAGAGCTGCCGAGTCTGGACTGGCGCAAAGATGGCCGTGGTTACCATGTCGCTGTGGGCATCGAATGTCTCACAGGGGTACCGGTCCTTGGTGATGGCATCGCTGGACGATGCACTCCAAATAAAGACTTTCTTGGACTCGCTGCCGCAGATGACGTACTTGCCATCGTCGCTAAAGCTGGCGAAGAGCTGGGCACTGGCGTGCTCATGACCCTTGAATTTGCAGTCTAGCATCTTATCGCGCAAGTGGTAGAGGCGAACACGGGCGTCTGTTGAGGTCACCAGGATGGCAGCATCGCCGGGCCGAGAGTTGCGCAGAAGCATCGGAACAATGCCAGTAATCTTGCTGCCCTTAGCATTGCGGCCACGTGATGAGCGGACGTGGATTTGTGTGAGTGGTTTCAGTCCTTCCGTCTCGAGGAGGTAGCAAAAACCGCTGAGTAGGCCCGCAATGGCCATCTTGCCGTCAGGCGAAAAGGCCACAGCTGTGATCATATCGGACATTTGCGCGGAGAAGGCGACGGATTTGTCGGGGATGCTCCACAGGCGCAGAGTGGCGTCGAGGCAGCCTGCAAGGAAGAACCGGTCGTCTTTGGGGTGGAAGGTGACCTTGCTGACAAGCTCCTTGTGTTTGAAGGTGCACAGGCACTCCTCACGGCTGGTGTGCCAAAGACGGACGGTCTTGTCCATGGATGTTGACAATAAAAAGTTGTTTTTGCTCCAGCTCAAGTCGAGAATCTCGCCGGTATGGCCTTTGAACTCCTGCACGGGCTTTTCCAAGAAAACGGGCGCGCTAAGCCGTTCGTTGGTGCCGTCGCTCTTGGCCTCTTCTTCCTCCTGGGACCGACGGTCCTCGGCAGTCGAGATGACCTTCCAGACGCGGACGACGTGGTCGCGGCCGCCTGCGGCAAGGTACTGGCCGTCTTTGCTGAACTCGGTCGCCCAGACAGCGCCGCCGGTGGCCGTTTTCTTGCGGCCGTGGCCGGATGTCGTTACCGTTACGACAGGGTTGCGGCTGTCAGTTTGTGATTCCAGAGGCCGTGTGCCAATTAGCTCTTGAGCGAGAAACATCTTGTCGAACTCCTTGACCTTTTTATTGTGTAACTTGACGCGGATGTAGCGAGGCGGCTCCTTGTGGTGCGGAAGGAAGCCGGCCGAGTCGACAACCGACGAGAAGACGAGGGCATTGGAGCCCTCGTCACGCGGCTCACCCGCTTCAGAGGCTTGGTCGCTCGCATCCTCCTTCTTCCTACCTGCCCGCATGCTCAGTCGGCCGAGAAATCCTTTTCTGATTGACGTTAGACACGAAAAATCAGGGCAAGCTACAAGCGCAATGTACAAGGACGGAACGTGCATACTTCTTTTCTTTCCCTACATCGGCGCCCGGAAAAGGGAAGCGCTGGGGGATATCAGCGGTGGGAGACGATGCATCTGGCCCAGGACTGTCGGGTCCTGTGGTATAGGACCGAAGTTTCGGATTCCGGGACTGGTCCGTGTTGGTGCGAAGGAAAATATGCTGTTGTGCGTATCCACGCATTAGCTAGTTTCCAATTGATGTCCATTTCACGGGATGTCACGTATATAAGTACAAGGCCACGCGGGATATGAATCTCTGGGCCCATTCAGTGAAAAAGAAGCAAAGATGAGCTAGGCATAGCTTATTGCGGGCCTTTCTCTTTACTCAACAGGGCAACCTTACTTGAGAAAGGGGGTCGATGGACGACGTGTTCACAGAGGCGCCGCTCGACTGGACGGAAGCTGCCGTCGCAGCCGGTTGCTGCTGCGGTTTCTGTGGTTGAGGGGAGGTTGGCTCCGGGTCAGCGCCTCTGACAGGGGCGAGGGCAGATGGTCCCCGCGAGAGTCTGGGCGCTTTGCGAGTAGCTATCGTGGGCTGTGTGGATGCGGTGGCGACGGCGGTGGGCGAGGGCGTGGCAGGCTGTGCTATTGTCGACGTTAGTGGCATTTTGGAACAAGTCGACCCCAGGCAGCAGCATTTTTGTTCTGTTTTGTTGTGTCTCGTATGTCTTCCATGTGGCTTGCCCGCTTCACTTTTCGTATCCGACCCTAAGAGGGAAAAGGCCTGTGCGTCCTGAATTCTTGCGCCCGGCACAAGACAGAAAGACCTCCGTGCCGAACGCGTATGCGGACCCCACTTAGGGCGAAGCCGAGCTCAGGCATGCCGAGACATCAAGCCAGGACATGATATCTATGCGATGGGCAGATGGAAAATACGCAGTACTCGTGCAATACGCAGAACAGGGAAATCGAGACTGCCCAAGTGGAGACGGGGTATTTGGATGGTAGGGGACGAAAATAGAAACCAAAGAACGTCAACGTGGTAGTTGCTGCGGGGTGGAAGAAAAGAGCGTGAAGAATTGGACGGCTCAGATTGGACAATTAAGAACGACAAGTGCGAGATCGCGAGGCAGGAAAGTAAGACGGGTCGACAAGAAAGAGGCAAAACGTGGGAAATACAACAGGAGCCAACAAGAGAGACGACATGTCAAGCCAGGAACGACATGTACAAAAACGGATACGTAACGCGGGAAGACAACCCGGAACGTGGAACCGACCAAAAAAAACAAAAAAGAAAGAAAGAAACAGAAAACGACAGCCTAGAGTGTGGCTGTGGTTTATGCTTAAAATGGGACGAGGCCGCTCGATGTTGAACGACGGAAATAGAAGTACCACAAGTCTTCTTGGGTGACAGGTGGAGAGAATACTCGAGACACTAGAGACTAAAGTGTAAAAACAGCCAGACCACGAGGAGCATACTCCCATGTTGATAACTTTTCAAAGCTGCTTGTCTCCTTAACGCAGAAACGAAGAATGAAAAAAACACGTACATTGATCATTGGACGACGTCGGCGTCTTTGGTAAGCTGGTGGCCTTTCCAGACAAGGCTGCAGCCGGAGGAGCAGAAATGCTACTGGCGTTCTTGTTTGTGGTAGTGGCGCTGTTGCCGATTCGAAAAGGCACGTCGTCCCGGTCTTGGGGGCGGTCCTGGCCGCCCTTTGTGGCGCCGAGAAGGGCGGCCATTTTGAGGGCGGGTTTGGGTGACGTCAAGGAATATATATATATGCCGCGCGATGTGCGCTTTGTGTTATACTCTCTATGTTATAGAGGCTGAACGTAATGTTCATGTGCGGCCTGCCGCCAGGCGTTTATCGATCCGACTAATCCGCCAAAGGGTATGTGGCTTTTGTCGTTGCGTAGCCCCACTGCATTGGGGTCTGCTTTCCTGGGGGCTTCTTCTTGGCTGTGTTGTGGAGGACGAATCGAATTTGGATGCGAGCGTGGGGAAGGCAATCGCAGCTGCAAGAGCCGAAGGTGCGTGGATGGAGATTAAGCAAAACAGTGACGGGCGATACAAGCAACGGCTTCCGAAGCACAAGCCAACAGTTGATATGAAAAGTATGGAAAACCCGAGGTACGGGACACTTGATCACGGCGCACCAACTGCGATACCGACAGGGGGGGCTTCGTGTCTCGTAAAACGATCGGCCCTAGAGGTTCCAAAAAAGAGCGGCAGAGAAGGGAGGACGAGAAGACGGAGAGCTCGGGTCGTGGGATAGGCGGTGGGCGAGGCGAAATTCGAGAGGCAGCGAAAGTTTGAGGGCCTTGTGCGACGAGACGTGACAGCGGCGAAGAAGATGGGCAGCACTGAGAGCTGGTGGGCGGTCGGAAGGTCGGAGGTCAGACGTTCAGACGGTCAGAGAAGCTGTCCAGCCATCTGCATAAAGGTTTCGCCGAGTGGGGGTGAGACTGCCATCAGAGTGCCGTAACGGCAGGTCAGCGTTGCTTGCTCACGGCGCAGCGTCGAGCTACAGGACTCGAGCTACAGGACAGGAGCTTGTCGCAAAGTCGACGAGTAAGACGGCAGAGGTGTCGTGGCGGTGGCTAAGCTTGGATTGGAGCTCACACTCCGTCGGGAAAAAAAAAAAACTCGCAGTACTTTGCAGAGGCCGGAGCAGGAGAGAAGCTTGGTTGGGTGCTCGGAGCTAGAAGGAAACAGATGGAGATGCAGTTGGGCTGCATGTGCATAAGGCGGCTGGGGGGCTGTTCAGTTTTTGGCTGTGTGCGGGGGTAAAACTTGATGAAGAAACTCTGGCGGCGTGGCGATGCGATGCAACTCGGGGTTTAATAAGAGTGCGAACTGGGTGGAAATCTCTGGAGCAGGACAGAAACGACTATGGGAACGAGAAAGCAACAAAGAGGGCAAAAGAGGAAGGAAGAGACCAGACGAAACAAAATCGGGTAGGCGTACGATCCACACAATCGGGTTGAGTACACCTAAGCTAGATAAGGGAGATCTATTGCGATGGAGAGGCCACAGGAAGGTACGATTCTGACATAACTACCGAGCGTACAGGATGTGGAACGCCGAGGCGGTTCCTGCCAGAACAAGTTCATCGGACGTCCTATCGCGAAAAGGCAAGCGCAACTGACCGCCTCAACTGGCACTGGCCTGGTCAGGTCCAGGACAGGCGCTGGCTCCGAGCTTGCCGTTGTCCCTTCCGCATTGGGCGTTAGCCTGACTCGGCGGCTTACTTTGCACCAGGCGGCCCTGGAACGCGTTGGAAAAGGACCTGATTAACTTAATGATTGTCACTGTTGCTATTGGGCTAATTAATTTGTATCGAGACTGCGAATGGAAGACGCGGGCGTGCTTTCAGACAGACGAGAGAGCAAGTATGGACCTGGCAACGCCGGCAGATTAAAGTACACAACGTCATTGAGCATTGGAGAGGAGACGTTTTGGCAAGGATTGAGCTTGAAAGAGCTTGCAAGAGCTTGCTAGAAAGGCCGTCGAATCAGGGCGTATCCGTAGGTTCCGAAGCAGCGGGAGCCCTGTCTTGCTTGGTGTGGGGCAGGCAATGTGCCCATTGACGCCACACGGTCAAGGCAGCATCAGGTGATGGGTATGATTTCAGCATATTTAATCTGTCATTGGCTCTACGTTTGCGTCAGTAAAACACGAGAAAGGATGTTAAACACTTGCCCGTTTAAAGACAATTGCTTTTCTTTACGTGGTTACAGACGGCCAGTGTGACAGAGGACACAGTGGATTCCAGATGCGTCGCGCACTTTGTAAGAAGATCTCTTAACAAAAATGACGTAACAGTCGGTGGATATCTGGTGTACTTTTGACTGGCTAATTCTATAACCCGGTAGCAGTTACGGTAATTTCAATATTCAATAATGCAAATTCAGGAAGGGTTGTAGGAGGAAGAACGGGAAAGACTATGGGATACGTCGTTATTTAACGTGCTTGTGCTTGTTTTACGGAATACGTGTAAAATTGTACGCCGTACTTGTGAATACGACGTATTACAACGCATTGACCCATCCGATTACGTCGTATCAGAGCCGGTTGGCCGATTTGGCCCGGACAGGACCTAATATTTTTAAGCTTATCAGGTATCGTTTCAACTTCAAATCCAAACTATCGCGGCGCACTTCAACAGACACGGCAATCATGGTTTGAGAGAACTTTTTTTGCTCAGTTTTAATCAAGTGCCATTGGCACCGGAGCGTTCTCAAGACTGGACGAATGCCCGGTTTAGATAAACTGATATCACCATCCGCGGTGAGATGAAAGGTACTGCGTCGTTCTCACATTGTCATATGTCTTTATCAATTGCGCAGCCGCTTAGAAATGACAAAAAATAGAAAGTCCGTGGAATATGCCAGTCGCAGACATTCATATTCAACCATTTGCATTGCGACCACGTCTATCCATGGCTGACGCCTCTCATCCCTCGAGGCCCCCTATGCCTTGTGTCGCGGCGCATTTTGGCAGCCTTGAGAATGCAAGAGCCCAAAATATCACCTCGGATGGTGTCCAACTCGCTGTGATTGCACAGCAGTTCTGCTTAGAAAACGTGTTTTCGTTGATGATTGCTGAACTCGCGCGCGGGGGAGGGGGAAGGGGGTAGTATTAGCAGCCCCAGGAGCCGGCCTTAAATGGCCAGATTGGCCGTAGACTGCTTTCTTGTGCTTCGTTAGTAGTATTTACCTGTGAGATTGTTCAACTACGATGTGGGACGCACTCAGCTTACCTTGCACCGGCCACTTTGAGGCGGGGCTTCATGAACATGAACTACTGCAGTGAGAAGGTCGATCGACGGAAGCTTGACAAGACAGCTTGGGTGAGTGATGGAAGAGGTATATATCGCCAGCCCAGTTTCGCTGTCCACCGATTCTACGTTTGCCATTGCCTTGCGTCAATATCAATTCACTTTTTCTCTGCGCCGGATATCTCCATATCGCAATAGTTTCCAAGAGACCACACCTCGCACATCGCCAACATGACGATTACGCACGTTGTTCTTCTCCAGTTCAAGGAATCGGCTGATGCCGAGGTCCTCAAGGCGGTACGTGTCCTCTCTCCGACTTTCCAAGCCAGGTCGGCGGCTACTAATACACACAGGGCCTTGAACAGTTTCTCAACCTTAACCAGACTTGTGTGCACCCAACGACGAAGCAGCCGTATGTGCTCTCCATGCAGGGTGGCAAAGACACGTCCATTGAGCATTTTCAAGTGAGACATATTTCCCTTGACGGCGTGTACTCCAGCCTGAGAACAATACTAACCGTACGTCCCTATGTCCCCAGAACGGCCACACACACGCCTTTGTCGCCGAGTTTGCAACGGTCGAGGATCTTCAATACTATGTCAAAGAGGACCCGGTGCACCAAGCGTTTCTCAGGGACACGTTTCCGCTCGTGGAGAAAATTACCACTATGAACTTTGAGTCCGGCAAGCTTTAAGGGGGCCAAACGCAACCGGCACGGCTGACAGAGACGAGGATGGTCCGAAGCCCGGATGCGGCTGACGACAAGCAATGCGAAGGAGAGACCGATGAACTCCGACGAGCCCATTGGTGAGCCGTAGGCTGGATTAATAATGCAAGCACGCTGGCTACAGCATGGACACAGCAGCCAGGTGCACTGACCAGCCCGCGCCAGTAAATATCTCACCAAGATGCACGGACGGGTGCATGTTGCAGGGGAGGAACCATGCCGCATGTTAGAGATAAGAGTGCGTTAGCATGGCACCTGTAAGGATGGATGTAGATTCGGAAACAAGCAGTAGAGAAAGCTGGTAGAGGAAGCAAGTGGACGTACCAAATACAACATCATCAATTCGAGGCCGAATGAGAGCCAGTCAGAGAGCCCCGAATGGTAGCATTGCAGCATGGCCCCGATCGCGTAACCATGCGGCTTCTTTGGTGCTTTACGACGACTACGGACGAGACCAACGGAGCTTGGCTTGGATGGCTTCATTCCAGCGAAAATGGGGAATTGGTAGGTGGGGTGCAGTGTACGGGCAACGTTCTCCGTTTTGCATAGAAAGTAACACCGACATGGGCCACTCCTTTCATCGTCTTTCCAACTTGCACGTTGGATCTTGCCCCAAATGACTAACGAAGGGATGCAAGTCGTGCTGGCTCTATTGGTACGCGAGATTCGATCAAAGTGTTCCATATAAAACGGCAGAATTGCCCACCACTTGAGAGGTCGACGAAACACCTAAACACCTGAGCCCCTGATGTGAGGGGCCTGTGCATATTCCCTTGTGTCCTCCACCGCCGCAACAACCTCTTCGCTCTCGATATCGCACGACACAGTGTCACCCACAATGGCCCCGCTCTCGATTCGTTCCACGGTCAAGCTGAACAGCGGCTACGAGCTGCCCCTGCTGGGCTTTGGTGTAAGTCGGTTCAACCCTAACGCTACATGACCACAATTGCAATCACAACGACGACTGCCACATCCTCCATCCTAACTCACCTAGTGATTGTCGCAAGGATCGCCCACAAATTCCTCATGGATCTCGTGTTGAATGTCCTGGAGCACACTCACATCCTGCGTGTTTGGTTGAATGCTAACTGTCTGCAGCTCTACCGGACGTAGGACGCTGCCTCCTTCACCAACACGCCTTACTCCTTGCTGTGGGTTGGATACTCACCGTATGTATAGACCCCCCGCCGAAACGGAAGACGTCGTCCTCAAGGCCTTCGCCGCCGGCTACC